TTCCGATGTGAAATACATTTTCGAGGTAGGTGTGATGCTCTTACATTCCAGTGAAAATGAACGCTGAAAATTTATTTTTTGTGCAAGGTTTTTACTTGACACTGTGACTCGTCAGTCGTTTCTATGCCTGACAGACCGAAAACAAATTTTTAATTATTTTAATGTTAACTAATATGGAAATTATGATTGTTTTATAACTAAAATTGTCTCATTTTGTTTTCGTTTATATTTGTACATTTTTGTTAAAATAGAATAAATTTCAACCGTTCAGACCCGGATCTATTTGTTTTCATTGTTAAGCGTTGGTGGTTTTCTTGCTAGGATATTTTTGAGTATCTGATTTTTTTTCCATGGTAAACATACCCTTTATGAACATGGTTATTTCAACTGGTTGAGCCATGGACCACTTGTTTGATTTTGACATGTTTGTGTTACATTTGTAAGGGCAATGCAGGAATACATTAGGTTGTTTGCCGTTTGTCACTATACTATTCTGAAATAAGACTTGCTGGAGAGTATTTGTACCTGATAAGTTGGTGTATCATTGTATAGATTGCTATCGTCTGATAATGTAATATTCGTACACTGAACGAAAACGTTAACGTGACTCGCATAAGCACAGCACAGTACAAGTACGACTGGATGGTAGCATACACCTTTCATATAACCCCCATGTAATTTACAATATGACTCGCAAGGGCTTTAATGTACTTTTACATATTGACGTTCTATATGTGGCATATCAATATACGTAATGTAATAAGCAAACAGTTTGTTGATCACCGTGTTTATATACATATATTTACATTTGCATGGCATTGTCACTATATAGCCTCTTTGAAAGCTGTGTCGTTGGTGGGACTTTAACTACCATGCCGCACGAGATATAGTTCTTAGCGTATTAATACAACACTGACCGGAACTACAATATCCAATGTAAATAAACATGACGGCTGCTGAAATATCGCTAGGCATTGTGAGATTTGACAATGTCATTATAAATTTATGTGCAAAATAAAAAATAGAATAAAAAAATACTTTTATAACAACAAAAACAATATCAAGGTCTGCAATATCGTACAAAATGCACATCGGTTGAAATCACCAATGCCGGCAATGGAAACAATTTTAACGCTCATGAAATTTATCAAATATATCGTCTGTTACACTGCACTGATCAACAGGGGTTCGTTACAAATGTCTGAAATACACATATTTTATAGACCTACTGACACATATGTTACAGACCTACTGATATGAGTCACAGCACACATAAACATTTCAGACATTTGTAATGAACCCCTGTGCTCTGGCCGCATGATCACTCATTTCAAACGCTTTCAGTTTCACGCGTCTCGCAGCCACTGTTTTCTCAGTTTCTGACGACATGTCAAGTAACGAGGCGGTTATAGAATATGCAGACTACAGACAAATAAATTCACGCCTGGATTCTTCACAAAATGAGCAAAGAGAAAAGTTCGAATTTACTTTCAAAAATAACTCCCTCGTGGAGGACAAGGTCGGATTTATGGTGTTCACTGTATTTATCCATGCGCTAATTTGTTCAGGGGAAAAATCGAAACAGTTTCAAATCTAACTTTCAGCTCAGAGTTCTATTGATAAACTTAAATCACCTTATAGACACATCATACGCAATTGTATTAATACTGAATTGTGGAATAACATTGAAGTGTTTGTTAAAATTTCAAAGTACTACTTTGTTTGCCAATCAGCACGCGACAAACACGCTGTTCAAACTATTGAACGAAATTGTTTGGACTGTCGATAAGGCGGGCATTTTAAATTTTAAATATGAATTATAAGTTAAAAAAGAACATAAGAGGCAGAGAAAACGTAAATATAAGTATTGAACTGTTTTTGTATGGTATTTATGATCTATTTTAATGACACAGCTATCGCGCACTATGTTGTTTGCTTGCAAAGCTGTGTCATTCAAATAGATCATAAATGCCATACAAAAACAGTTCAATGCTTAAAGGGGCATCACGGTGAAGTAACTTTATTTTTTGTCTTTTTTTTCAAATACTACATAAACATATCAAATGAGATTCCTTATGGAAAATAACGATCGGATTTGGCTGAAATAGATTCATAACAAGAGGCCCAGAGGGCCTGTATCGCTCACCTGAATATGTTTAAAATAATTGGTATGAAGTAGTTGCTGTAAATACATATGAAATTTCAGAAAGATCCAACCAGTACTTGAGATATGGCGAGAACAAACTTCAAACAGAGCCCCACCCCTATGCAACCTAGGGGGGGTCATACCCACCAATTATACAAAATTGAGTCCCCTTGGTCCATTGATGCTCTAGACTAAATAAGGATAAAATCCCATAATCCCGATGGTTGGAGTAGGGTTTCAAAGGTTTTAACTCTATTTCTCCAATTGAGCCCCGCCCTTCTGCCCCCTGGGAGACCACACCCACTGCTTATACAAAATTGTTTCCCCTTCACCCAAGGCTGCTTCATACCAAATTTGGACAAAGTCCTGTCTTTCCTACAGAAGAAGAAGGATTTTGAAGAATTTGCAATGTTTCCCCTATTGGGCCCCTCCCTTCTGCCCTATGGTAGAATTCGGATTATAAAGGTTTTACCTATATTCCCCCTATTGTGCCCCGCCCCTCAGGTCCCAGAGGGGACACACCAACCGTTTATACAAAATTGGTTCCCCTTTACCAAGGATGTTCCACACCAAATATGGACCAATTCATACAGAAGAAGGATTTTAAAGAATAATCTGCTATGTTCCCCCTATTGGGCCCCGCCTCTCAGGCCCCTGGGGGGCCATACTCACGGTTTATACAAAACTGGTTCCCCTTTACCTAAGGATGCTTCAGACCAAATATGGACAAAATCCCCTCATTCCTACAGAAGGAGAAGGATTTTAAAGAATTTGCTATATTTCCCCTCCCTATTGGGCCCCGCCCCTCAGCCCCCAGGGGGGCCAGGCCCACTGTTTATACAAAATTGGTTCCCCTTTACCCAAGGATGCTCCACACCAAATATGGACCAAATTCTTTCATTCCTACAGAAGAAGAAGGATTTTAAAGAATAATTTGCTATGTTTCCCCTATTTGGCCCGGCCTCTCAGGCCCCTGGGACCCACACACCCACGGTTTATACAAAATTGGTTCTCCTTCACCCAAGGATGCCTCAGACCAAATATGGAACAAATCCTTTCATTCCTACAGAAGAAGAAGGATGTTAAAGAATTTGCTATATTTACCCTATTTGGCCCCGCCCCTCAGCCCCCAGGGTTGCCAGACCCACCATTTATACAAAATTTGGTCCCCTTCCCCCAAGGATGCTTCTGACCACATTTGGTCAAAATCTGCTCAGTCGTTCATGACTAGTAGCGTATAAAGGAAAAGTTGACGGACGGACGGACGACGTTTGTTCAGGGATTTCCCTCTACTACCGCATGCGCATAACACACCATTTCTTTGTAAACAAAATGACTGACCGTGTGAAGTAAGCGAAAGAAAAGTGTTGTAACGTGTCAGCTACGAAACGAAAAGTTGCAAAATGGTCAAAAGATAGCGCAAGGAGTACGTTACGGAATCATTATTGCAGGTGGGCAGTATTCAAAGGAGAAAATAACTGCTCTAGCAGTTAGTACGGTGCATGTATTCTTCCGGATAGCCGGTTAAGCTGAAATGGAATCGACAGAAATGCTAGCGCTGTTTATGTTATGAATAAATATCTAAAACTATTAAGCTCGCTAGTATCTTTGTCTGGGTTTGAACACAGATGAACTTTGTTTAATATGTTAATGGGCATTTATCGGAGAGAGTTTACTTTGTGTTTCTATGATTATACAGTGGTTTATGCGAAAGGAAGGGATAAGTGACTGGTTAGTTTGATGTTGCCATGAGGCCCTCCAAGGGATAACTGTTGTGAAGGCCCACAGCGTATTTTCGGGGTCATCAAGATACGTTCGCTATTAGATTTACATAATTTATAATATTAACGGGTTCAGTAAAATGGTATGATTTGATTATATTGCTGAATTAAACGATTATTTTTGGTTTTACATGCAAGATTTAAATTAGTACTAATATGAATACCCGGCCTCCTCTGCCCCGGCAATATATATAAAAAAAACACCAGAAAGGTTTGTCCCATGGTTGAGGGAAGGTGTACATGTTTAGCCCCGTACCATCTGTACCGGTCACATTCTGGTACTAAATTGCAATATATATTTATAAATATCTACTTTATGTTTATGCCTATTATCATTGTTGACATTTAATTGTAAATGTATGACGGGAGAAGGCTGTGATAAATTGTAAAAACTTGTGCCCCATCCCTTGTTCAATTTTATTGGCAACAAATATGTTTAAAGCTAGATAAATTTAAATTCTGAATATTGGCAAGCGTGCAATTAACTTCTAATGATGAATAATTACTGTTCAATAAGTTTGAATACGGACTCAGAAATCATAATACTTGGTTTCATAGCGCGGTAAGAAGTTGCAGTTGCCTGACGGCCCCTCTCTGGGGGCCCCTCTGGAAACCGTTTCATCTCGCTCAGACCACTTGTGTTTACTGCCGAGTCAGGTGTCGTTATCGGCGCTATTTTTAGCAGGGCTTTCCCGAACAATTCAAGTAGTCAAACTGGACATTTGGAACGGACTATGAATATGGGGATAGCGTGGTAACATAAGTGGAAGTGGTAACATAAGTGGAAGTGCATACAATATATACATTCATTAAAAAAAAATGGGTCTTCACGTGATGTCCATTTAAGTATTTCTTGTACAAAGAGTGGGTAGGTCCTCTTTATAAATGCACTGGACGTAAAGAATGTCGACAGGAAGCACATCATTTGTTTCCTGAATCTCTGCATATCTTATACTAACTGAGAACGAATGATGTTATGGCATAATTGTAATTCATTAACATAGTTTTTGCCATGCACGTACATCAACGGAGACAAGTTGCCAAGAGTATGTTATTAGCACTAGCGAACTTACTTGCTCCGGTCAATCCGCTGGATTTCTGGAGAGGAAGGGTAACAAGCTAGAGTAGTGTCCCTTATGCCCCTGCACTCAAGAAAAGTAAAGCGATACATTCTCTTGCATAACAGCCCAAGAAATTGTATCGGGTAACTTAAATAACAACATATCGTATAACTGAATAAATAACAAATCTTTATACAATGTGTGTATTTACCTATAGGTAAGGGAAGTTCTTTCCACATGACTAAGTGTTAAAACGTTTTCAGTCGCGCTTGCTGATATGACTTAAGGTGGCTCAACACACCACGAAAAAATGGATAAAAACCATTGAAATCTAACTATTGTGTTTCCTATGATTACCCAATAACTTCCGTGACCTTAATATAGCATCCGGCAAGGTCATATTTTTTTCCCCCCAAAACCATGGAAAATGCCGATTTTTCAAAATCAAATGTTCTCAACTTTTTGGAGGCTGCATAATTATGCATGTTCACGTAACAAATAAGGACAAGTAAAAAAAGTTTCAAAATTGTATTTGGAACTATTTCTTTTTTCAACAAAATAACACAAAAACATCAAAAACGGGAATTTCTCCCAAACTGACGGTCAAATATGTATAATTTTGTCTGTAACATATTCTACAAATATCATACTATTAATGAACACTGTTAAATTGAATGATAAATGAATAATGAATTAGATATTTTCAAAATTGAACAATTATGACATTGAAATTTCCTTTTGAGAGTTATCTTTCTTGATTAAACAGGAACTTTTTTTCATATGGCAGTTTTAGCCAGTGCACTTTCCAAACCATAACTTTTTGTTCCCAAATGAAATAAACAATGATTTATAACAATTAACTATAATGTTTCAAAATAGACAAACAATATACATTGATGATCTTAGCAAAAGTACAATAAATATGATACAAATAATCTGATGTTTTGGCACAAACACACCAGAAACTATATTCAAAAAACAAAAATTCAAAACATATTACCAACAAGCATGGAGTTTGAGTCAAATATGCACTTGATTATGCTTTGTTTGTATACTTTTTTGTGCATACAACGAAAAGTTAATATATTGTGAAAAATTGATGAAAACAAAATATTTGATGTAAACAGGTTTTATACAATTTACCAATAAATATAATTTAGGGAGAAAAATGATCAATAATTTTGTTCACGATAGCCTTGTTTTTTGTCACTCTTACAACATTAAATGAATTTTTTTCTTTTAATACATTTTCAAGACCTTCTGATCCTCCCCTTTCAAAAGCAAGTTTCAAGTGGTTATATGAGAGTCCTGACTAGGCAATTTTTGTAATCATATACTGTGACAGTATATCTAAAAGAGGCTCAGTTGATGGTCACCAAACACATGAGATGGTATAGCTTTTAGTCCAGATTTTAAACTCTCAGGATTGTCTGTATTTGATTTAACAGCATATGCAAAACATTTACTTAAATGTTTGATTGTCTTTGGGCCCAAGAGGGTGTATTTTTTCTCCTTTTTCAGTTCATAAAGCTTACTAGTGAAGTTTTTCTTTGTGTGATTGAAATCTGAACATTCCTTGAGAAATGGATCAAATAATGTCTTTGCTTTAGCATGTGTAGTTGTATCGTTATCCATCACTATGTTGTCAACATGGTAGCCCTTCTTATCTAGGTCTTGCAGCATAGTTACCGCCATGTCAGCTTCCATTGCCTTGGATGATGACGACCAATTCTTTCTACAATCATGTTCTGTTACTTCGGTATTTGTTCTAGCAGCAACATCACAAAAGCGACACTGCTTGCACCTAACTGCATAAGCAACAACTTTTCCTGTTTCTCCTCCTATCATAGATCCATGTCCTACAATTAAATGTAGCCATTAGAAACCCTATAAACAAAACTTGGGAAATACATGAAGAACATAGTGACAATACCATCAACCAATACTTTTGCTCAATTCTCATTTTTAATAACATCAAAAAAATTATGTATTAGAACCTTTATTTGAATTTAATGTTATTGAAATATGGAAAAGTATTAAAACTATATAAAAACTGTGCTAAATATATTATGTTTTGGTCTTACCAGAGAGACTTGCATAATTTCTACCACTCCCACGTGTTTGCCATCCTGCATCATATGAAACAGATTTTTCTATGTCTTCACCATTTTGATCGGTTCTGAAAAGGGAGACAATAAACATCAAATATAAATTGCACACAGTACTAGTAACAGGGAAGCAGCTTGGAATAACACCATAATGTCCTTACGACACGTACATGCCAATCAGCTATTTATACAAGAAAATAACAACATAAAACATGTACAGCCCTCACATTCCTAATATGGAATGTCATTTCATATTAATTTATCATTAAATGAGAACCTTCTTACCTATGTTGCTCTTTTTGTAAGGCTTCATCACATGTAGTCTCCGCCACAGATTCTAAAGCTGTTCCTGCTTCTCTCTCTCTCCTTTTTAAAGTTGTTGCAGAAATCTTGGGAATATTTAGAGCAGCAAGAATTTTGTTGATTGTAGTTTCTCCAATTCCACAATAAATAAGGGCTTTAAATTAAACCAAAATTAAATCAACATTGATATTCTTAATATATCATAACATAATTACTGGTGAATAAAAAACAAAACAAAAATGACATGTTTTAGTATATAAGCTTAGAAATTTACAAGTGAACATTTATTTCTCTACTTTACATGATTAAATTTACATACATTTATGTAACATACCATTTTCATCAGAATAATCATCATCATCATCATCTTGTTCATCATCATCCGTTACATAATTATCAGTTGGATAATCATCTAAAATAAATGTATACATCACTGAATCAATGGACACCTGACATATATCATTTATATTTGCATTGAAATATGTGTAGAATAGGTGATATTGGCACTGTAATATATTCTTATCTTATTAAATAAATACTGGGTTTATGAACTCTATGTAGAATTGAACATTAAACAATACACATGGAACAAATGCATTATAAAATATCTAGGGCCTAACATGATATAATTCTCCAGCGATTGTATTGTATTTGTAAATTACGTTATTGGACTCATATAATTTTCGACTGCTTCATAATATTTTCCCAGTGATATCAAGATAGCACAACTATATACCGCTCATTTCTATACTTTCCATATTTTGTTTGCTTGATGCACTGGGTCACGTAACGATCACACATATGCTATACTGATAAAATATAAAATGGACCGGTATTTGTATTGTCTCGATAACTGGCATGCTAAACAAACTTACATTTAGTGTATGCATGGTCATGGTGCACATGGTTATTGTCCAGTTCACTGACATTGTTTCCTGAAGTGAATTTGCCGTGGTTATCTCTGTCCATTTCTAGAGCAATTGTGGACATTAGCAACGTAACACAATCAGTGTTTCTTCGGTTCTTTCAAAACAGTGGCGAAAACGACATTATTGTAAAGCGTTCAAGTGATTGAGTATGTTTTTGTATTTTTCAAAGCTGGAGAGTTACTTTTAACGGTGTATGGGCACATTTCGCTCGGAAATATTCGGTCCGTTGTACTTTTTTCGGAAGTACGTCATGAAAATGGCCGCTGATGACGATGTGTCGAGTAACCTTAAAACTGTTTATTCATATCGGAATATCACCTCTTATACCGAAATGCGTATCTTGGCTGTTCAAGATGACACGGACGGTATCTTGATTAAGGTTGTGGATTTACTGTGTTATAAAAAGATACATGTTGAATGTGTGATTTCCGTAGGATTTCCATACCAAAAACAGCGAGTGCAATACATACTCCATTACTTCTAGAATTATCTGTGAAATATTGATATGGAAACAAATTTCAATGATGAATTTTATTTTATTTCAACATTCATACATCGCTTATTATTTATTCTCCAATATTCTATAAAAGGTTGTAGCATACAGCTGGCAGGATAGGTCTTTGTGGTAGGATGGCTGACAGATAATTTACTTGCACAGCTAGCGCTAGAGGTCACTCCTCAGAAGGGCACTTCCGGTTCAGGTTTCGGAACACCTCAAGTATCTTCCAGCGTCGTTGCTACACAGCCGTTACAGTGTGAGACTAATAACACTGTCTATTGTTTTAAAGGTGACGTAAATAATTCGCCGATTATACAAATAAAAAATCAACATAACTTTTCATTCGATGTTTTTATGTATTCCATATAATCAGTGTAAAAACATCGTCCGCGCGTGTCCAGGTGATCATTCTTTGTTCACTGGATAATTTGACTTTATCGTAAAATTGACGGTGTTTATTCGTTCGTGTTCAGGAAAAGTATAGGTCTAATGTACCCCGCTGCAGGTCGTAAGATGCGGCTACTGTGAGGGTTCCTGCAGCATTGGGGATTGTCTCTCTTTTGTGTCTTCTTAAAAACACAGAATTGTTCTGCTGCCATCATTGTAACACTTTCTTTTCGCGCTTCCGTACTTTTCGAAGAGTCTCCCAAGACACGTGTTCATATGACCTTAATAATGGCTTTCGCGAGGACATTTACACACCTACAGCCACACAAACCCAGAAACAATTTGTCATGTGCCTATATACTTCCAATTGCCGTATAGAAATGTATCTCTTAATTGAGCTATTGAGCCATGATCAAATAAGATCTATATACATGTACATACGTATGATATTTGTTTTCTTATTCATTGTCACTTTTTGGGCGACATTTTTGTTAAATGTTGTACTGAGCGGATCCATACATTAAACATAACAATATATGAGATACAAGTATACAGTTTAGCAATAACATCACAGCGCTTTAAGTCGGCGATCCTCAATTTGAACATAGACTGAAGGTGTCAGGGCTGCAAAAGTACAATCCAACTTTAGTCTAGGTTTAGACAATTGCACCGCCTGATTATAGCGCTTTAATGTGATCGTATGTAATCCAACATGTTGGGAGAATGGGTAGCACATCATAATTGCACATCAATGTTTCCAGACAACTCCCTGGGTATTTAATATGATATGCTGCGTACAGATTTATTCGTACTTTAGATACAATATGGGCTCAACAAAATTATATCTCACAACTTCAAATTACAGTTTGAGAAGTATACATGTAAAGGAATTGGACCTATCTACACTTAATTACTGTTGTAAAGTGCCACTCGCAGACTAGAACTATCGACTGAGCAACAGCAATGGCAGGAAACAAGGTATATTACAGTACTAGAATCCCGCTCAGCCGTTCGTATCAGTCATTCATATAAACTCATGCATAAAAAGATTATTTTCCAGATTCTCTGTGTTGTTTATCGGGTTTAACATTTCCTGCTGATGTATTATCAGTGTTTGATCATTTCATATTTAAAGGTTCGTTTTGTATAAGTTTCGATCTTCTTCGCTGGAATTATTTTGTTCGAGAAACACATCTAATACTTGATCGCCCTGTACGAGCTCTTTCCGATGTGGTGATTTTAATGTCCCCGCTATAAGACTTAGAAATCCAGCTAGTAGAAGAATGGCACCTGAAAAATAATAAGATGCAATGAGCAAACCTTTATTGCGATTTAAATATGTACGGTCCTGCTATGACTATGAAAATGTAAGTTGATGGAATCGAAAACAAAAACATTGCTTAATGACACAAGTGATATACACATGCATGATCTTAATAATTTATGTTTACTTTTTCTAAATGATTGTTTAGAATTATTATGTTTGAAATTTATATCACTTGCTAAATTAAATATAGTAGAAAAATAATACAATGTCAAGATAAGTATGTAAAACATTTTTAAATGGGAAAAACATGTAAATAATAGGTTTACCGAAGGAACACATACTACAAACCTTGTGGTTAGAATGTAAAAACCTCAGCATAACTAACCTGTAACACTGAAGCAAAACGTGTATGTTCCCCCAAGGTCAATCACGAGCCCTGTCGACAACAAACCATTAAATGAGTAAACCAGTGTCAAAAAGTCGAATTAAATGAGAGTTAATGTGCGACACACCAGTTCGAAATGTATCCATGGAAGGTTGGATATCCAAATAAAATGTATCCATGGAAGGTTAAATATCAAAATAAAATGTATCCATGGAAGGTTAGATATCAAAATAAATGTATCCATGGAAGGTTAGATATCCAAATAAAATGTATCCAGGGAAGGTTGGATATCGAAATAAAATGTATCCATGGAAGGTTGGATATCCAAATAAAATGTATCCTTGGAAGGTTAGATATCAAAATAAAATGTATCAATGGAAGGTTAGATATCCAAATAAAATGTATACAGGGAAGGTTGGATATCGAAATAAAATGAATCCATGGAAGGTTGGATATCCAAATAAAATGTCTCCATGGAAGGTTGGATATCCAAATATAATGTATCCATGGAAGGTTAGATATCCAAATAAAATGTATCCATGGAAGGTTAGATATCAAAATAAAATGTATCCATGGAAGGTTAGATATCGAAATAAATGTATCCATGGAAGGTTAGATATCAAAATAAAATGTATCCATGGAAGGTTAGATATCCAAATAAAATGTATCCATGGAAGGTTGGATATCCAAATAAAATGTATCCATGGAAGGTTGGATATCCAAATATAATGTATCCATGGAAGGTTGGATATCCAAATAAAATGCACATGGTGGCATTTTTATATATATACATGTATAAACTCACCTACAAGGGTTGGTCCCACAAAAATCCCGATTCCCATAACTGCAAATTCAATTCCGGTTGCTGAAGCAAAGTTGTCGTATCCAACTATGTCAATATTTAAGGCATTCAGAATCCCAATAACAGAATCACCATACAATCCTCCAAATATACAAAAAATCACTAGCCCAGGAAAAGACGTTCCGTAAAATGGAAGTAGAATACTGGCTAACGCCATGAAAGTGCAGGTCCCGAACATTAAAGTCGTGAGGTCTATGTTATAACTGTTCGAGTTCACAAAAGCTGCCAGTAAAAGTCGGGCGAAAAAGGCAAACACTCCTTTCACTGTTAGCAGGTACGAAGCCTGCATAGAAGTGAATCCCAATGTTGTTACGAATTTGGGAAAATGTAAATAATTGACGAAGGCACCCAACTGCAATAGACACAAATAGCCTATTATACATATAAAAGATGCATTTTTCAACATCCTAAGCCAGTGTAAACACACTGATTTAACCAAAGATGACTGTTTTGTCTTCTCATTGTGTGTCCGTTTCTTTCTAGAATGTTCGAGATATGCCGGAAAATATAAAGCTCCCAATACAGCTTGTTGAAGTGACATACATCCTAGAATCACAAAGATCATCGTATTTCCGTAATATGCGCGCAGCATTTCCACAACCGGAGGCATCACAAGGGATCCAAAACACATCCCTGAAGCCGAAATTCCATTTGCTATATTTATCCGTTGTTTAAAGTTGTATCCCACGACAATGAAAGCTGCCGTGTTTGTCAAACTGCTTCCAATCCCTAATGACGAAAAGAATAATGAATTACATCTAAACCGATAAGGATGAACTTGTATTGAGCTATGGGATGTCATGTTTTCAGAAGAACATCTGAACGATTCATACAGGGTCATGACTGGCTACATGTATTTCTACAAAATGAATTTCCTTTTTGGTAAATGTATTGCCCTTTTCTGAAGTACGTTAGTAATATTTGTCCTTCTCTCCATACAGATTTAAACCCAGGATGGAAAACAGACAATGAGTTTCACCTTTAGATTGTGCTTAACAATTATCTAAGTGGTTTATGTTAAGGTCCACGACACATGACCACGTTGGGATATTTATATTCGTACTCTATAGTGTTACTCAGAAGATATATTGGATCAGATTTTATATCTGCATGCTCTTTGTATAATAATTTTGTACGTTCAATTTCTATATTGATATCTTCGATGCAAAGGTAAACGTTAGGTCGATGATTAAGATATATATATTAACCTGAATGTTTTCACGTATATACATATATTTAATTGTTATACAAAAGTGTTACGAGAGTGAAGCTCTTTTTGTTTCAATGTTATCTTTCCACAAAATCAGTGCTGGGCATACCATGATCACGTGATAAATGTAATAAGTTTTACATACTAGTCACTTCATGCGATAGTATTAATTAGCAACACAGCTGGGTCAGTTACACGTACTTTGTTGAAGTCTTGGACTCAAGCAGTGGGCGACCCTACATATTATGGACAAACTAATACATTATAATTTGAAATATGCAGAATAAAAACCTTGATTTAACGTTAAAAGCAATGGGAATGATCTTATACGCAAATAATTTTGTTTTCAAAAAAGAAACTGAAACATTTATGCATAATGATTACCGGCCAGTATTCCATAGGCGAACATCACCACATCCAGAGACACTGGTAAGGCGCAGATCAAGAGTCCGACGGTAAAGAGTAGTGAACCAGTCACTGTTACCACACGACAGCTGTACCTCTCCACCAGGGCACTACATAGGATACCTAAGATAATACAAAACGAAGGAATACTGTTATATCATTAATATTTTACATCTTTATATACTATATCATTACAGTATTTAATTTTCGCTGTTTCCCAAAAAATGCTTGACTTTTCCTGATTGTATCTTATAATGTACAAAAAAGACAACCAAAAAAGTGATGACGTCGAATACCGCAACGTTTGACGCAGTATTTGTAATTCTAACTTCTCATTGGTTAAAGTTGCTGGGTAGAAATTGTTGCTCAATATTAAGTTTTGTGCAAAATTATGGTGTACCTAAGTTGTTTATACCAAACAAATGATGATCTACTAGGAAATACTAGTGCCTGAAACAAATCCTACGTCACCACATATATAGTCAAAAAAGTTATATTAGAGACGGGCTGATTTTTTAAAAGCTGTAGCACGCAGTGTGATTCATTTCTGGGTTACTGTCTTTGCGAACAAAATTTTGAATGTTTAGTCACCTGTGTGTGTTAAACTTATATATTAAGGTTGTACACTCTGCTGGTGAATTGTTTAGTCCTCAAAGTTTTCTGTAATTTTGATGGCCACAGTTTATCAATTGAGTAGTCACACTGTTCATAATATATACACTTTACAGATTATATAATATACACACTTTACAGATTATATAATTTACACACTTTACAGATTATATTATATACACATTTTACAGATTAAGATTATATAATATACACCCTTTACAGATTATATAATATACACACTTTACAGATTATATAATATACACATTTTACAGATTAAGATTATATAATATACACACTTTACAGATTATATAATATACACACTTAACAGATTATATGATATACACACTTTACAGATTATATAATACACACACTTTACAGATTATATAATATACACACTTTACAGATTATATAATATACACACTTTACAGATTATATAATATACACACTTTACAGATCATATAGTATACACACTTTACAGATTGTATACACACTTAATAGATTATTTAGTTTAAAATGAATCAGTACTCTTCTTAATTACAAATAAATAAATTAAAGGGATTTATGCATTTGTCCCTCTGTTTTAACAGTAGTTTAGACAATGTGGCAACTTATTGGCCCCTAGCATCCTTATGAGTCCTAGAAGAAGGAAACATATGTATGATACAGAGCAATTCATTCTGTCATACTGTATCTATTACAAAATCTTTAAGGTGCAGTCACTTGTGTGTGTTACGTTCGCCCTTCTTTGACAAACATTGTAAATACCTAACTGCAGGATTTTCCGCGGGGATGGTATTGTCATGATTTCGCGGGTCAGTTAGGTGATCTCGAACATAATTATGATCAGCATAATAATATGACAAGCGTACAAATGAGCCGCGACAATAAACTTCATAGCCGTGATGTCTTCGTGAAATAGTGAGCATGTGGTTGTAATGATTCATTCATATTAAGAGTTATACAGGATGTTTGAAAACAGATTATATCACACATCATTATTTTGTTGATGATTTGTAAAACAAAAACAGTTATAAAGCGTATTAATTCGACTATTTGACACTTAACTTGCCGGGTGTCCCGTCTCTGTGTTAAGACACTGCGAAAAGTAAGTTCCTTCACAAGTCAAGATCGCGAATTTGAAATCCGTGTAAATTCAATTTTCTAATTTTCGGTCACAATCGCAAAATATAAGCTTGCGTAAATAACCATTTTACGGTAAATTTGTACAAACTAGATTCCTAGTTAGATTCATGTAGTTTAGCAAACAGAGTAATTGTATGATTTAAAGCAGTTATTATGTAATTATCAGAAAAGTAAAAGCATTCCCTTTGAACATGAGTGTTATATCCATGTTCTTGAACGTCCCATATTTTACAAACAGCCATAGACATTGAAGTCTGTCTGGTGAGCATGATTATATCTACTTCCGGTTGATCGGGGCATGTAGGCAGTAATCGAAACTTACGCGAAAAAGATTGCTTTAAATCTTACCTCCAGTAGTATTCATGCAGACAAAGAGGGAACCCGCCATAGCCGTTTTCATGTTAGACTCTGCATATCTGTCAAGAAGGGCCAGATGTATGATGCCTAGAGCGCCCATAAATGCTCCCTCCACAAACATAACAAAAAACGCCGCAAATAAGGCGACCCATGACCAGCCCTTGTCAGGCTGAGAAAGGATCATCCTGGACTGTTCCTGCAATATATGCAACACTCTTTGATTCAATAAAACATATTTGCAGAATAAAGACAAACATTGACTGATGGTCTATCATTTCATTATTAAACACTCTTTATGACTGTCGAATCTTGTCACGTGATTTCGTTGATGACGCAAGTTTATTATTTGACGCTTGACGCTACATCTCTGTATGTCGGATCATGCTAAACACTAATTTCTTTCTGAGGCCATGTAAAAGTATGTGGGATTTTGTATTCATATATAAATGCATCATGCCTAGCCATTCCCATTTTGAAATGCGTAGCTAGCTAGGGAAGCCGTAAGTAGACAGTATATACATGTATATATTTTATCTGGCGGCCGGTACGGAGTCATCTGGAGGAAGCCACTTATTCATCTGTGTTTGTATAAAGGATTTGTTTGTCTAAATTCAATGTCGTACACTGTCACATAGTCGTGTGTACATGTGTATATTATATGATAATACCGAGGGTTATCGATTACAGTGTATTGTATGTATAAGTACAGAGGGGTGCCGATTACAGGTTGTTGTGAACAGAAGCAAGATCATTGGATAGTCGATGTTTATCTTCGTTTCACTGACCAATCAGAGGGTAGCTTACAAGCAGTAGTGAGAACATGTGCTAGTCAATTCGGGGCAGTCGCCATTTTTCCCACAAGGAGTGAGGTGCTAGCGAACATGATGGGCTAGAGCGAGGTTAGGAAGACTCCCCGGGGGTGAGTGTTATGTTACACTTGGATATAAATGTATATGGTTTATGTTAATAATAATGAATTAAGCTGTCAGGAAATATTTGTTCAGCTATAAGTCAAGTTAAGCGGTCGCTATCGGCGGCACTCTACTGTCTGAGTATAGTATAGCCAAGGTGGTTGTTAAGCTAAAATATTACGTGCATTGCCTCGTTGACAGGGGAATATATATGTAAATATTAGTCAATTATATCCATGTCAAGCCTAATAGATGAGTTCAGGGCAGTAAAAGTTGGTATTTTGTTAATTACAGTCCAAGGTGGGGGTGGACTAGGGACCATGCGGCAGGCAGCCGTGTGGCTAGTCACGTGACCTGAGACATGTAAACAGTAAACAAAAACACGTGGCGGCTGAAGTTATGAAGGGCCGCAGTGTGTAGTACTGGTTCTACGATGAACTTTCACAACTATATTATTGGTACAACTATATTATTGGTACAACTCTATTACTGGTACAACCATATGATTGGACTACGACTGGTATGAAGCTCTCAGTGGTGGTGGATGTCCGATGTTCCGTTCCCCTACAGTTCGTCGTGGCCTTATGATGTCCGATCTCTTTTACACCGAGGCGACTCCAGCAGTTCATGGTGAAAGGAGATGTAATTCTGTGCGCCGGAGAGACGGTTGTTTGCGGAGGGACGTGTACTCATGCATTGTGCAGTGGACATACTACTTGTACTCTATTACTAGCATACTGTATAACTACAGTGAGGTGTGAACAGTCAAGGGTGGTTAATTAACACCATTAGGACAGTAGGTTTAATTACAAAGGTCTCAGTGAGAGTGTATTTATGGATGATTTTGAGTATCATTTATTTGGTTATTATGTAGCCTGTTATGGGTATCCGTTTATTCTGACATGTTGTAAGCTGGATAAGATTATCTACATGTAGTAAATATGTGATATTTACATATAGGCAGGATATCAAAGGAGCTCCTTGGTCAGATAGGGACAGATTAGTAATACTTGTAATACTTGAATTATTTTTATTATTTGTTATTTTATTAAATGTTATCAATTTATTCTGGTCTTTGAGTTGTGAAATTCTTCAAAGTAACTTGGTCGACTCTGTTGCGTGACATACACGTGTGCTCGCCAGATACACCTTCAGCCTCTGCTTCACTGTCATTACAGATTTCCTTTCATACAGGAGACTAATAGAATATTCCCCTACCTTGAGGAAGTGAAAGATAAATCTCTTACCCGTGGGGTGATCGTTTTTGGTTGTCTAACCCGAGGCTCTGACGAGGGTTAGACAACCAACACAATCACACGGAGGGTTGGAAATTTCTCTGTTACGCCCTCTATTACGGTAGGGGATGATTATTTTTCTCCAATCATACTATTTCAGTCACAACTCCTCCGACAGTAGTCTGTCATGTTTGTAAACAAAAACACATGTGGGGTATGAATATCGTCATTCACTTTTGATGACGTCACAATTACCATTGACGCATTTTAATAATGTCACAATTGAACTCGTGCTAATCGGCACGGCTATCTCTCCCTAGGGGGTGACTAGCTGATCTTTCCCGGCTAAAACGGGAGACACACGTACAGTATGAAGGGTGGGAGAAATATGAATCTTCAGTAATCGATTTAAAAGTTCCTGTTAGCAATTTTGTTTCCTTCGGTTTTACATTTACCACATTTTCCGTTGTTGGGCATAACGATGACCTAGATTTACCGGATCTGGGTGTAATAACGGCTATATTCATAATCAGATTATGCTTGTGTCCGCTTCAAATACCGGAATTTATCCATATTACCATCTTCGTTAGCCAAGGGTTCGCTTCGTAAAGTTTATACGAAGCGAACCCTTGGCTAGCGAAGATGCCATATTACATGTCACGATTTAACAACGTTATGGGGCTAGATTTATAATTGTACACGTATGAATAATCATATATACATAAATGACAACCATACACTACATACATAATACAATCATTAACATAAGTTCAGTATATTGGTTTCTGTATCATAAAATATAGCATTATCCAATAGCGGATTAGATTGTTTGAAAGCTATGTTACTTTTGTACGCAGTCACTAGCTGTCAGTTTGCGGAATGATTGCGAATACAAAATGATTGTTGGGGTGTCTTCTTATTTGTCAGACGGGCAAAGAGATTCTTGAGGTGTTTGAACATATATGTTTAGCTGACCTTTTCATAATACCATCACGTGTTATAAAATCATAATGCACCCGATAACCTCTGTTAGACTTTTATCACTTGTTCATTTATTCCCTTTCTCGCTTGTCTATGCCTTGGACGGTATTTTTCCGTGGTGTCTCTGTCAAGGTGGCTTCATATCGTTTTCACAACAAAACAAACGTTGAAGTTTTTAATTGTATCGCTAAGAATAGTTCCGTCTAGTTCAATATAGGCGATATATGACGCTGGGTGAACTTGTTTTCAGATATAAACGATAAGGTTTTGGTCCTCAAAATAAAGGTTGTTAAAATATATATTACCTGAATGATATCCAGGATAAGAGTTAATCACCCAAAAGAAAATAAAACAAAAAAACATGACATGCCGAGTCAATCACACAAAGAGAAAAGCATGACAAGCTAGATCAATCATAATTAGAAAAAAAAGTATTATGAGCCGATTCAATCACAATCAGAGAAACACATATTGAACAGAGTTAATCACAGGGGAAAAGCATCACAAGCCGAGTCAATCACACACAAAAAGAAAAAGACATGACGAGCCGAGTCAATCACATACAGAGAAAAGCATGACGAGCCGAGTCAATCACATACAGAGAAAGGCATGGCGAGCCGAGTAAATCACAAACAGAGAATAGCATTACGAGCCGAGTCAATCACAAACAGTTAAAAGCATGACGAGCCGAGTCAATCACAAACAGAGAATAGCATTACGAGCCGAGTCAATCACAGAGAAAAGCATGACGAGCCGAGTCAATGAGTAATGAACTAATATCAGAACACGTTCCGACAGATGTTACTGCGTAGCCGCCATCTTGATCACAACCACCTGTGCATGATGACAAGATAGTTGTGGGATGGCACAACGTTACACGATGTGCGGTGTACGCACGATGTGTGCACGGTGTGTTAACGGTGTGTGCACGATGGGCGAACGATAAAAAGCTGGACGATCATTGCTTGCGCACATCTGTGCGCACGATGGACGGATGTTGTGCGATAGCAATGGTGGTTGGTGTAAATTGAGGAATGCCTTAACAATTTATCAGTTTCATATTTAAACTATAAACTTGATGTTTACGTATGTTTTTATATTCTAGCATCATCTATAACCTTATCTTTCTGTCTATACATTCTTATATTTAGAAATTGTGTTTTCTGTGTTTTTAAGCAAACTTAATCGACACATGTAAAATTACAACACAATCCCGTATACAGGTAAACATAACCCCTTTCTACATGTACCTGGACCGTAGTTTTTCCCCTCGCCTGGGGCACTTACGTAACTCGTCGGGTAAGGCCGGGGGTGTAAAAATCCAGGTGAAGGGGAGGTATAGGCAAACGAATGCAAATAACAAATACTATTCATTACGGTCAAACGGTATCGCATATCAGCTCTGTGTATCAGGCACTGGTCAGGTAAAACTCCGGTCACTCATACAAATTGTTATGTACGTGTTCTGTTACTTTGGAGCCAACCCCATTCTTGACAGCCTAACGGCCGCTGTAATACTGTGTAACACACAATGTGAAATTGTATAATCTTGATTATTGTAATGAGAAATTACAGATATGTACACATTTTACATTATCGCATACAAGCCTTCCGTATTTTTGTCATTCCGTAATTTTGATCTAAAAATGATACCAAATCGCACAGATGTGCGGAGAGGAGCGCACAACGGGGCGAACGATTGCTAAATCGCACAGTTGTTCGCACCATGTGTGGACGATGTGCGGACGGTGTGTGAACGATATATGCATGGTGTGCGCACGCTATTTTTGCTGCGTTGTGCGGTCCCACAACTGTACATGGATGTGAAAACAAACACTTTCAGTAATTTACGCTCTACATACACTTTGTTGCAACTAGACTTCCGTGTTTTAGTTTTTTAACCACAACTAAAATCGTGCAAAAAAAATAAATAAACAAGAATGACAATAGAAACTACATCCTTTACACGTACATGTTTTGAACATGTAAACACAACATAATGAAAAATATAACACATGAATTGGTGAAATAAAAATAGAAGTCCATTCTGTCCGTGAACATGTAGAAGAAAGACACATTAGTTGGTGTTATTGGGAAAATATAAATTTATTATGAAAAGAACCGAAAAAATACCGACAGGTGCCGAGGTGTCCCATTGAAAAGGCCGAGGTGACCCGAAAAAAATGCCGTGGTGTCTCGAACCGTAGGTGCCGAACTCTCCAAATACTGAGCTGACCTGTTACCGAGTCGAACATCCACAGAACATGACGAGCCGAGCCAATCACAAACAGAGAAAACCATGACGAGCCAAGCCAATCACAAACAGAGAAAACCATGACGAGCCGAGCCAATCAAAAACAGAGAAATGCATCACGAGCGAAGTCAATCACAAACAGAAAAATATGACGAGCCGAGTCATCTCAAAAAGAAACTAGAAATATGTCAAAATGACATGAAAGTCACCCGATATCTTGTATGATCATTTTCAGAATTATAAATCATTGACCAAGATACAACTGACAGACTCCACCTATCAGTCAAAATGGTCTAACAATGACCAGGTGTATATGCATACACGCTGTTTAGGTAACCATTTATTCCAACACATGGATATAACAAGAAAACGTAAACACTATTTCTGTTTCTGTGATATTCCCTGGCCTTCTGCATCCTAATTTCAAGGCCTTCCACATTCAAAAAGACCAAAGTGCCAGGATGACATATCTCATCTGTTCAAATGAAAACAAAATGATACAAGAGAACTGAACATGCATATTGGAGCAAATCATTTTTACCAAAACTAAAGGCTGATAATTTAGGAATTTCCTATCTCTATCACTAGTTCGTACTGGTATTGTATTGGTGGTTAATTATCTTAATAATATCAGTTGATACAATTTTGTAATTCTCAGTAAAAAATAACTTAACTTGTTGGTAAAAATGTCAACATATTCATATACAAGAAAAATTTAATCGATGACACATATATAATTATCGGCAAATTTAAATTGTCGTCTCGATCAGAGTGCAAGATTGACACAATTCAAGTTGTATATGACATTTTTAGTGCCCTTGCAACTACAAAAGAAAGTCGTTGAAAGTATCTCAGCTGCGTCCAATGTAAAAACACATACGGGTCTCGTTATTG